GGATGGATGGATGGATGGATGGATGGATGGATGGATGGATGGATGGATGGATGAATGGATAAAAAATTTAAAGTCTAAGTCAAAGTACAACAACATTCCTTAAAGGAAAGTAATGTGTATTGACTACTGCCAATCATACCAGAACATCCTAACCAAACGCTACTCCAATTATTGTAAATTTGGCTAAATTATAGCCATGTTTGTGTTTCCTAAGGTCAGTTGGTTGTGGCTGCCATCTTGAACTGGGCTGACTCTAAAATGAAATTGTTTGTAGATGTATGAAATGGTTAGTTTCTGAAAATTCCAAGAAAATCCATAAGATATTTTGCCAGCAGACCAACAGACAGAGTTGACTCCAAAAGGTAACAGCATTTGCACAATTAGTTAGTGCTCATTTTATGTTCGGGGATGCCTCTCGGCTGCTACAAGACCAAATTCTAGTTGACTGAATTAAAGCAATTTCTGTGATAAAGTTCAATAACGTGTGATGGTGATCTGAAATTGAGAGGAGTCTAAACATCAAAACGATGTCGTAGATGCAGTCATAACTTTCCAAGAGTTTCATTAAAATCTGTTCAGCTAGCTATTTCGCTAACAGGCAGGTAAACAAACACAAGCACATCTTCACGCTCAGACATGACCAGAAATATTGTTGCTCGCTTTTAACGGCAGAAGAAAACAGTATTTTGTCTTTTCGTCATAACTTGATCAGAATCATGGGAAAAAAAACATCTCAGTTTCTGCTCACCTGTGTGGATCATTAACTTCAACAGCAAATTTTTTCTCTCGGAAGTACAAGTTTTCCAGCTGCTTCCACTGGTAAAGCTGGAGATGAAAACATAAAAATAATAATAATAAGACAATAAAATAAGATCTCATTACAGAGAGAAGTTTGTTTCTGGGAATTTTACAAATCAAAGCCTTAAATAGAGCTAAACTACCTAAAAATCATCCTTTGAACTCAGATAAAAAAAGAAGAAAAATGTGTGCCTCAGGTGTTTCGCCCAGCTTGTTTCTCCCACACTCATCGAAAAGTCCGATTCTAACAYGAACTGTCGTTACAGTCTGAGCTGCCGAGTCTGCAGTTACGCAGGTGTTTAAGTGAGGAGAACACAACAAAGGAACATTACATGAACACTGGCTCATCATGTCTGCCCCCCCACAACACGCACACACACATTCTATCAAGCAGCTGCTCGTTGTCAGCGGCCACATATGAACATTAGGGTCACTGACTCACTGTGTGTCTGAACAAAATTGGAATGAGACACGAGTAAAACCCACGAGTGCTGAGTCGGGTAAAACTTTTTAAAATGGGTTAAAAACTGTATTTTGCTGACATATATCCACGATCTAGAAATTTCTTAGAAGCTACAGAACAAAACAGAGTAACATTTAGTCTTACCTCAGAACATAGGAGCTCCTCTGTGCCTTTGCTCTCTGCACACACACACACACTTCACTCTGCCTCCTGTCAGCTCCTGACTTGTCTCAGGTATTCTCAGAACAGAACATTTGCAATAAACGCCCAAATCCAGCCCCCTCTTTTTTTTTTCTTCCCTTCGACATCATCACATCACTCCCTCTTCTTTTCTGAGAAACAAGCAGCCCAGCTGACAGCTTGCACAACTTCAGGATGCACGGGTCACAGATGGATTGCTTCACCCTGAGACGTCACGGAGCTTCATAAGGAAGGCAACGAAACGTTTCGAACCTTCACTTCTGTCCTACACGTCACAGAACACAGCTGCCTGACTGCTCAAATGGGTGTCAGCTCACACGCTAAAACAACGAAACAAGAAAAGCACGTTCCTGCTGTCCACATGACTCTCCCAGTATATATA